GCGACAATGAGGGGAGGAGTTGCGAGAGGAAGGGGACGGGGGAGGAAAGGTGGAAGGACAATGATCTCAGGGGGACGGGCAAGAAAAGGTGGCAGCGGAAAATAGGGGACGAGAGGCGAAGGCGGAGGAGAGAAAGGACGAGGTGGAGGTGGTGGCGGGGCAGGTGGGGGAAGGGGGCGGGGCAGGGATCTGATGATGATGATGATGATGATGATGATGATGATGATGATGATGATGATGATGATGATGATGATGATGATTCTTATTATTATGGTGACGTTGGTGATGATGCTGATCATGATGATGTTGATGATGAGGAAGAGGAGGAGGAGGAGGAGGGGGAGGAGGAGGAGGAGGAGGAGGAGGAGGAGGACCAGAGAAAACTCAGGATGTATCCACGATGCGGCAGTAACCCCATCTGGTCCCGAATCCCATTTTGAAAACCACTGGCCCTCCGTCCTCGCCAGTGCTGCAGCCGTTTAACGCAAGGGTGAGCGCCCCCCTGAGGCGAGAGCCGCATTTTGAAGACGACTGGCCCTCCGTCCTTTCGACGGTTGTAATATTTTGAGATGAGTGCGTGCTGCGTGAAGGCGAGAGGCCCGTTTTGAAAAACACTGGCTCCGTCCGTGTGACTGTTGGATGTTTTGTCATCTCAGGTCAGGGAGTTGTGGGCAAGTCTCAGGCGAAGCGCCCAGCCTGGGCTGCGGACACGTCCGGTTGTGCGACGGGGGGGGGGAGGTGTTCATAAGGAGACGCTATGGAGCAGAAGCGGCAGCGTTGGAGGAACGCGGACTTGCAGTTGTGGTGTCGAGATTTCTTCCTGGGTCCACCGCGGGCCTCCCCGCAGGCCCCCGAGGGGTGCAAGCCGAAGGGCGGCCGCAACGCCACGAAGGACAGACATCCACACCTGACGTGCACGGGCCACGCAGGCGCGCGGGGGGGAGAGCACTCCGAGCGGCCCGCCCTGCCGCCCCTTCGCTGTCTCTCTCTCTCTCTCTCTCCCTCCCCTCTCCATGCCCCCCTCCCTCCCGCCCCATCTTCCTTGCCATTGCCACAGACACTTCCTCTCCTCTGGCCCTCTCGTCCCCTCCCCTCCCCATCGTCCTCCCGCCCGCCTGCCGGCCCTTCCCGTCCTCCTCAAGGCCCTCTCCCCCCCCCTGGCTTGCTCCCAGAAGTCCGCTCTCCGCCTGCCCCCCAAAAGTCAATCCTCTGCGGGCGCTTCCCCTCCCCCTCTCTCCCTCCACCGTTCTCTCCGCTCCCCTCCTTTCGTTTCCCCCCCCCCCGCTCCCCCCCCCCCCGCTCCCGCTCTGCCTCCGTTCCTATCATGTTGCCTCCGTTCCTATCCCCCCCCTTCCCATGTATGCTTCCCTCCTTGTTCCTCTCGCGTCCCGTCCCCCCCCCTGCATCTCACCTTCCCTCCTCATCTCCCCCACCCCGCCTCTCCTGCGCTTCCATGCCTCCCTATCCTCCATCCCTCCCCTTTCTCTCCCATCCCCGCTCCCTGCCATCCTCAACCAAAAGGAGGAACAGCAGCATGGGCAGCAGCAGGAGTGAGTGTGCGTCCCGCTCAACTTTTGCCGCGTCCGCGTTTCCCAGCTTCCGCGGGAGGTTCGCTCCACCGACACCCTAGCGACTGATCAAGCGGCGCTCGCCCTTGAGAGAAAGGTGCGTGCACGTGTCTGTGCACTCGCGCTTCCTCGCCATCCTCCTCTATCTCTCCTCCTCCTGCGTCTCTTCCATTTCCCCTGCTTTCCTTCATATCGGATGTGCTCTCCCAGCGAACACGATGGAAAGGATTCTTGAATTTCGTCTTCTCTTCCCAGCTGTGTGGGGTCGTTGTGTCGGCTGGGAGGTCCCGACTCTGATGGGCGAGGCGCCGACGAGCTCTTTCTTCTGAGTCGTCTCTGTGGCACGGGCCATGTGCAAGCGTCGCACTGCTCACAACATCTTGGCTTGTGAAGTTCAGCACAGAGTATGTCTTGTGCATGGGGTGGAGCAGGTTACGGACCCTAGGAGTGCCAGGGAGCATGTTGGAGGGGGCAGGAGAAGGACCATTGAGGAGGTGTGTTGCCAAACACGGTGTTTGTTTCAGCGAATGGGTTGGCACCCGAAGCGTGTTCCAGTCAGTGTGTTCGCGGCGCCTGGCAATTGAAGCGACAGTTTCCGTTACTCACGTTCCGCGGATTTCTCGGATTTGCGTTGGACCCCCCTCCTTAGGGTTTAGGGCCCGGATTTCTCAGACCCCGTCAGGCCAACCCGAGTCCCCCGAACCCGAGTCTTACGTCTCCCCGATACTCCTTAATCCCCCCCCTTCCTTAGTCTTGAGTCCTCAGTCCGCCATGTTCCATCCTCATCGTGGTTGCACCCTTCCAGGCATCCGTCATCCCGCCGCGGCTGCGCGCAGCGGGCGGGTGCCGTCGCCGAGGCCACGACCTCCAGAAGCGCCTCAGCCTCTTCTCTTCGCTGTCGGGCTGCAGTCCAGGGCTCGGCGCCCTGCAAGGCGGCTCCTCGTCCTCCTCTTCTTCCTCTTCCTCCTCCTCCTCCTCAGTCCTTCTCCTCCGCCTCCTCCTCCTCCTCCTCCTCCTCCTACTCAGTCCTTCTTCTCCTCCTCCTCCTCCTCCTCCTCCTCCTCCTCCTCAGTCCTCCCTCTCCTCCTCTTCCTCGTCCTCCTCCTCCTCTTTCTCCTCAGTCCTCCTCCTCCCCCTCATCCTCCTCGTTCTTGTATCCTCACTCATCGTTCCTCGTCCTCTGCTTCAGTCCCCCTTCTACTTCTCCTCCCTCCTCCTCCTCCTCCTCCTCCTCCTCCCCTCCTCCTCCTCCTCATCCTCCTTGTCCTCCTCCTCCTCCTCCTTTCCTCCTCCTCCTCCTCCTCCTCCTCTTCCTCCTCCTCCTCCTCCTCCTGTTGTTGTTGTCCTTCTGGAGGTCCTCTTGGAGCCTTCTTGGGCCGTCTGGAGGTCGTCTTGGGATGCCGTGGGGTCACACTGGGCCCTGGGCCGTCTTGGGGTCATCCTGGGCCGTCTTTGTGGCAGGCTTGGCCATGGCCGTCTTGGAGACTACTTTTGGCGCTTTCGGGGCGGGGAGATGTGCTTTGAGCTGTTACCGTGGGGCCCGCGGGATCGGCCGAGACCCCGTCGGGGACCTTTTTGGGAGGGCCCGTCAGCCGACAACCCTCCTCCTCCTCCTCCTCCTCCTTGTTCTCCTCCTCCTCCTCCTCCTCCTCCTCCGCCTCCTCCTCCTCCTCCTCCTCTTCCTCCTCCTCCTCCTCCTCCTCCTCCTTCTCCTCCTCCGCCTCCTCCTCCTCCTCCTCCTCCTCCTCCTCCCTCCTCCTCCTCCTCCTCCCCCCTCCCCCATTCGCCTCCTCCTCCTCCTCCTCCTCCTCCTCCTCCTTCTCCTCCTCCTCCTTTTTCTCCTCCTCCTCCCCATCCTCCTCCTTCTCCTCCTCATCATCCTCCACGCCGAGCGCCCATCTGCAAGCACAAGGGGGCGGCGCGTCGAAGTCGCTTACGGCGAACCACCGCCGCCCCCCTGCCCGTCCATGACGCCAAACGTTGGGCCAGAGTCTGTCCGAGTTATTGGGCCGTATGCTCTCCCAGCCGTTGTGGACCCCCTTGGGGGAGCATCTGGGAGAGAGAGAGAGAGAGGGAACAAAAAAAGGGAAGCTGAGAGTGAGGAGAAGGAGAACGAGGAGTAGGAGGAGGGGGAGGAGGAGGAGGAGGACAATGAACAGGAGGAGGAGGAGGAGGAGGAGGAGGAGGAGGAGGCAAATGAGGCCTCTTGTGGTTTCCTGCAGGTTTCCTGGGAGCCTCTTCGGGGCCTCTCAGGGGCTTTTGGAACCTGATTGGGGCCTATTGGAGGCCTCTTGAGCTTCTTGTGGGCCTCTGGGGACCTCTTGGGGACCTCTTGGCCTTCGGAGGCCGTCTTGGGGGCCTCTGTGGGAAATCGTGGGCCTTTCTTTGGGCACTTACGGGCCGTCTTGGAAGTCTACGGGGCCGTCTTGCGGGCCTCTTGGGCCGTATTGGGGCCTTCTGGGGCCGTTGTGTTGGCTTCTAGGGGGCCTCGCGGACCGCCTTGGGGCGATCTTGGGGCCTACGGGGCCGTCTTGGAGTGTCAGAAACCCGAGAAGGCAAGACCGCTAACATCATGCAGCACAGCCAGAACATACCACAGTGTGACAGATTCTGGCTTCTTGGAGGTCCTCTTGGGGCCCTTGTGGTGCGTCTTTGGATATTATTGCGCCGTCTATCTAGGTGGCATAGTTTGCCGTATTGGGCTCTCATGGGGCCATCTTGGCCGTTTTGGAGTTGCACGTTTTGGAGGCCTTTGGGGGGCCATCTTGGCGGCTCTTCGTGGGCCAAAACATTGTAAACGTCTGGCACGTCATGCACTCCTTTATAAAACAACAGGGGGCTGCGGATTGAAGATTCTTACGGATAATCACCGCCGTCCCTTGCTTTTTGGAAACACCCATGCGGCTAAACGTTTGGCCGACCTCTAGCGAAGCATTGTAATCTAATGTGTGTTCCCCCAGCCGTTCCCCTTTGGGGGGAACACCTGGGAGATGAAGATAAAGGACGAGGAGAGGGAGGAGAAGGAGGACGAGGAACATGAGGAGAAGGAAGAAGAAGAATAAGCAAAATAGTAAGACAATCATTGGTAATAATAAGAAGAAGCAGAATAAGAATATGAATAATAATACTAATATCAATAAGAGGCCTCCTGGGGCTTCCTGGGAGCCTCTCTTGGGGGCCCTCTGAGGAGCCTCTTGGGGGCCTCTGAGGTGCCTCTTGGAGGCCTCCTGGGGCCTCTACGTGGCTCCTTTGGGGCCTCTTCAGGGCCTCCTGGAGGCCTCTGGGGACCTCGAACGGACCTCTTGGCATTCGGAGGCCGTCTTGGGGCCCCATGGCGCTTCAGGGCAGTCTTGGAGGTCCGTTGGGCCGTCTTGGGTTGGGCAGTCTTGGGGCTCTTTTGGGTCGTCTTGCGGGCCTCTTGGGGGCCCCTTGGGCCGTCTTGGGGCGATCTTGGGGGCGTATGGGGCCGTCTTGGAACGTCGCAAGCCCGAAAAGGCGAGAACGCCAAAAGTATTGGATAAAATTACGGAACGCCCATGATTCCTCTCGCTTCGCGGGGTGCACGTCCGGAGCACGTACAGTCCAGTCGTTGTCGGGCCTCTGGGAACTTCTTGGGGGCCCCTTGGAGGCCTCTTTGGGGGCCTCTTGGGTCCTCGCGGGGGCGTCTGGGAGGCCTCTTCGGGGCCTCTGGGAGGCCGCCTGGGGGCCTCTCGGAGCCCGGTGTGGGCGCCTTGGGGGCGCTATTGCGCTGTCTGCTCCCTTCGGAGACTGTCTTGGGATACTCTTGGGCCGTCTTGGGGGCCTCTTGGGGCATCGGTGGCCTCTTTGGGCTGTCTGGGGGCCCTCTTGGGCGGTTTTGGGGCTCTTGGGGCCCTCTTGGGCCGTTTTGAGACCCTCTTCGGAGCCTTGGGGCCTTTATGGGGCCATTTTTGGAAGCTGTTTGGGCCGTCATGGGCCTCTGAGAGTCGAAAAAGGCGAGAACGCTAAAATCATGTAAAAAACATAGGAAAATCCATGGTTTTGGCTTCTGGAGGCGCAGTTGTGGGCGCTCGTGGGGCCCTCTTGGGCCATCCTCGGGGTTTCTTGGGCTCTCTTGCGGCAATGTCAGGCCGTCTTGGGGCCGTCTTGGCCCGTTCAAAGGCCATCTTGGGCTGTCTGGACGCCCTCGTGGGGCCCCAAGAGGGCCACGGGGCCCAAATCATAGATGTTCCATAGGTTTTGGTTGGATGTTGTAGGTTTTTGAGGCGCAGAAGGGGAGGGGCCACTTTGGGTCGGCGGAAGTGGTGTGGCCCCTGGGGGGGTTAGGGGGGAGACATAATAATGTACCACAATACAATATGTAGCAATCATGCAATCATTGGATAAGTTGGAAACGATGCATTATAGCCTCCGCGGACCTGCCTCCGGCAACACGTCACCTCCGGACGTGGATTCCTCTCGCTTCGCGGGGTGCACGTCCGGAGCACGTACAGTCACGTCGTCGCGGAGCCTCTTGGGAGCCTCTTGGGGGCCTCCTGGAGGCCTCCTGGGAGCTTCCTTGGGCCTCTTGGGGACTTTTTGGGGGCCTCTCCCCCCTCACTCCTTTTCATACTCCCTCCCCATATTTCTTTTCAGCGCCGGCTCTAATCATGGGCGCCGCTGTGACCAACTTCCACCTGGCAGGCGCTGCGCCGCAGTTCGCGCAGGGTGGAAAAATGACATTACACTCCAGTCGCTGTTCTTGAGGACGTCTTGGAGGCCTTCTCGGGTTTTTTGGGGGCCCCTTGGGGGCCTCTTGGGTGCCTCTTGGGGCCTCTTGGGGGCGCGTTTGGTCGTATTGGGGCGCTTTTGCGCCGTTTCGCCCCTTCGGAGGCCGTCTTGGGGGCCTCTCGCGGCCGCCTTGGGGCCGTCTTGGGGTCTTCTTGGGCCGTCATAGGGGCCTCTTGGACCGTCTTGGGGGCCTCTTTGGGCCGTTTCGGGGTTCTCTTGGGCAGTATTGGGGCCCTATTGGGGGCTTCTTGGGTTGTTCAGGAGCGAGTTGGGAAGCTGCCTGGGCCGCAAAGGCGAGAACGCTAAAATCTTACCAAACCAAAAGGAAATCAATGATTTTGGCTTCTGGAGGCGCAGTTGTGGGCGCTCTTGGGGCCCTCTTGGGCCGTCGGTGGGGTTTTTGGGGCCCTCTGGGGGCCGTCATGGACCGTCTCGGGGCCATCTTGGTCCGCGCAGAGCCCATCTGGACCCGTCTTGGCACCCTCTTGGCCCTTCAAGAAGCCCAAGAAGTCGCAATCATGGATTTTCTGTAGGTTTTGGCAGGTTTTTTAGCCCCGGGAGGGGGGGGGGGGGCACTTTGGTTTGCTCCTGTGGCGCAGCTCCCAGAGGGGGGGTTAGGGGGTAGACATAATTAATAATGTAACACAATGCAAGATGTGGCAATTATGCAATCATTGGATACATTGGGTACGTTGCATTACCGCCTCCGCAGAAAACTCTGCAGGGTGTTTCAGAGCACGTTCAGTCCAGTCGTTGTGGGGCCTCCCGGGAGTCTTTTGGGAGTTTCTTGGAAGCTTCTTAGGGTTTTGTTTGAGCCTCTGGGGGGCCTCTTTGGAGCCTCTTGGGGCTTCTTGGGGACGTTTTGGGTCGTCTCTGGGCGCTCTTACGCCGTCTGGCCACTTCGGAGGCCACTTTGGAAGCCTCTCGCGGCCGCCTTGGAGCTCTCTTGGGGTCCTCTGGGGCCGTATCGGGTCTTTTTGGGCCGTCTTGAGGTTTTTTTTGGCCGTCTCGGGGCCCTCTTGGGCCGTGTTGGGGCCCCCTTGGAGGCCTCTTGGGCCGTTTGGGGGCCTTTTTGGAGGCTGCTTGGGCCGTCATGGCCTTCTGAGAGCCGAAAAAGGCGAAAACGTTGAAATTGTCCCAGAACAACAGGAGAATCAAAGATTTTGGCCTCCGGAGGCGCTCT